TATTATTAACATATAAAGACATCTTTGTAAATCTACGTGTATATTCTGTGAATTACACTGCCTAGACTAGCTTTAGCTATATGCAGGTTATATAGTTTTTCTTTTTTGTATTCTTTTATTCATCAATAAAGTATAAAGTATAAAGTATATGTGTCAGTATCTACAAAAAACATAACTCAGACACCCTTACGATCTCATACCCCAAAGGACCACTCCTATTCATTTCAATCTTGTGATGAAGTTTTCAATAACACCCAAGTCTCAAACAGCCCTGCTGCAATTGTTGACGACAAAACGACATAGCTATCATCAACTCCATTTCAGTCTACTGTTCCAACTATTGGACCACTGTACATCTCATTAAACAGCATATCATGGGAGCATGTTATTTATGAAACACCGTTTCCAAGGAGTAAATTGGCTAATAATTAAAAACTTGGAGAGTGAGCTTACTGTTGGAAATTGTTTATGGTGGATGGACACTTATTAGACAATCAGTTATACACAAGCTTTCAAAATTCAAAAACCTATTGATTTCAGGAAGAAGCCATCAGCTAACAAAGAGAAGATGAGTTCAATATTAGAACAGCTGCCTAATCTCATTGCAGTCACAACATAGGCAGTAGAGAGCCATACTTAAACCATTGAAAAATGGGGAAAAAACTCTAGAAGACAGTGACTAAACATGGGGTCACTAAGGGGCAGTCAAATGGTTTTCTATGTTCTGATTTTTCAAATGCTTTTTCAGTTCAAAATAAGTAAAAGAGCAGAAATTGTTTGACGTCGACTTTGCATAATTGTACAACAAAGAAATAAGCATTTGATAGGGGTGTATATCAGTCATGAATCATGCAACGCAATGTCAAACAGATAAGAAATGCCCAAAGCTCTTCTTCTGGATTCAAACCTTCTTCAAACCAGCATGACATTCTTCTTGAGGCAATGAGTAAATGCAAGTCCAAGTATGGCTTTGTAAAAGAAGTTGTTGGTGCACCAGCTGACAGACAGCTGAAAGACATTGAAAATTATTGTACTGGTTCTGAATTTTCCATTCTTGGAGTAGATGCCACTTTCAATCAACACATTTATGTTAACACTGGAAAATTGCCTGCATTCATAGGCCCAAGCAGCAGGTTTACAGCTATTAGCCCTCTGCTATGAAGAGATTTAATTCCTCTATACCTTATTTTCTGCAATATTTTTTCATACCTTCAGGACTATAGCTCCCATTTCAAGTGGTAACAGGTACTC